TTATGGATTATGGAGACTCTAAAACATGCCTTTGGCTGACAGAGCGACTTAGCCAAAATTGTAAAAAAAAAAAAAAAAAAGAAATATTTTGCATTTCAGATTTAAAAAACTTTTTCATTTGGCGTCTGCTTTATCCAGAACTCTGCAAGTGGAAAAGCTTTAGTTTCATTTGGTTTAATTTTCTAAAAGGTCTTCTTTAAGGAACCTTTTTCTATCCGATTATCAATAGATTCATCAAAAAATAATCATCAGATTAATCGATTTGCAAAATAGTCGTTAGTTGCAGCCCTGGTTACAATGTAAATTTAGGCTTTTTTTCCGGTCCTTATTTCAAATAGGTAAACAAAACAATAAATAATGATTATTGATTCTGACTGATGTTTACATTGTTCTAAGTTATATGAGCGTCAGTATAATAAGACATTTAAAAAAGTTCATAACTGGCTGAGGTGAGATGTATTTGTTTTACAATTAGTTTAAGTAATTGCTGACCACTGATAGTTTTTAAATTATACCTTCCCCTTAAATCCCCATTTTTGCATTTACATTTTAGGATAGGGTCTATAGGATGCTAATATGTTGTAACTGTCCATTTATTTTACATTTTAATGTTAGATCTTTTTAATCTTGCAATATTTTTCATCAAACTGCCGTAATGCTAAGAAAGTGGCTGAATGTTCACTTCAGCAGTTGAAATGGTATGTGATGCTATATGCTTACATCACAGGTATAGACATTTGTCACATTAAGTCACTCTAGTGCTTCTTTGATATATTTAATTACGTGGGTTTGGTCATTGTAAAGAGCAAAGACATACAATTTGTATTTTTTTTTAGTGTATTGTTTTGCTGCCTCTGCTGGTTTTTATTTGTAAAGATTAGGTTGATGGCCTTCTAACCTCAAGACTATCCACAGATATCTGGTTCCAGTTGTGGTAGAAACATTTAAAAAAAACTTTAGCATTTATATAAAGGGGTTAATAATGTAAATATTTTGACACATTCTTTTTTTATAAATTAATAAAACAGATAAATATTTTGATCTGAAGTTGATGCTTTATTAGCATAAGTTTATTATCTTTTAAGAGATGACCATGAAATAAACTTCCTGGTTGAAAGTAGTTTTAAAGAGCAGGCCATTTAAATAATAATGTTAAAAGCTATACGACTGACAGAGGTGCAAACATGTTTGTAAAAGCAGAGAATATCTTCAAAGAAGGTGCAAAGTGATTTATATTTGCAATTCAACATTAAGCATCTGGAAACTTTTTTTTGTGATGTGCATTTATCTTATATGCCTTTATAATGACCAAACTACGCAAGGGTGAATATTTACCACTTCCAAGATGAATTTTTGCATCTTTTTTAGTACTTCTGAAAGTCAGGTAGAAACTGACAAACAAAAATATCTGTGGTCATTGTTACCAAAAATGAAGCATTGGTACAATTCAAGATGATGGAGAGATTCTGTGCACATATAAACTTATTTAAACTGTCCTAAGTAACAAAAGTGTATAGTTAATCCAGGTGGGCACAAATAAATGCAGCAGGACAGCAGACAATCTATATACAATTAAACAAAACTGAAGAAAATAACTGTGTTCCAATATTTCAATGTTGTGGCATGTTTATATGAAAAGATAGAATATCAAAAGATCATGTAAATGAACTTGGGGTGGGGGGGTGGTACATCTTTTTCTCCTCTAAACTACATGGCTTAGAACCTAACTTTTCTTTTATGACCCATATAAACTTTCTATAGAACGCACAATCTATTGATTTAAATAGGATGGAAACAAAACAGTTTGCATATTTTAACATTTGTAAAATCTTCGTAACAACATATTAAAGATAAAGCCCATAATGTTCAAAAAATTGTTTTGTGGTTTCTTTATTTATTAAACCACAATTTTCCTCCTATTATGTTTATGAATATTGTCAATAAAACTGTGCAGTTTTGGCAACAGAGAAACAATTCCCTTTAGTAGTGCAAGAATAATTGTGTTTTACACATGACTCCGGAGCCAAAGTTTGTTGATCCCTGGTCTAGGCTAAGACACAGGGTTTAAGGAGAACAGTTTTGTCTTCTAAAGAAAACCACTCGCCTAAACTCTCTGAAAACTGTGTGATATGATGATGTGATAAAATGCTTTGGTCTGAGCTAACCAAACAGGAAGTTTTGTTTACAACAACACATGTTTGGCACAAACACAACACTGGACTTGGAGGAAAAACACAATGTCCTCAGTGAAACATGAGAGTGGCAGCAACTTTTATTCTAACTTTCTTCTAACTTTTCTTCAGATAAAGTGGGACAACAAACATTGACAGAAAGTTTTGTTTAATCTGAAACAAGACTTTTTTTATTGCGAAGGAAATTATGAAAAGAGTCAATCAGCTCTGGACTAAAATTGATAGCTGTCGGAGAGAAATATGAAGTCGAAGAGTAATCTGGAAAAGTCAAAGAATATTTCAAACTCAACAAAAGAATCACTCTGTTTGAGGAAAATTAGTTTTTGGATAGCTAAACTGTTGAAGTATATCTGACATAAACTCTGTGAGGTTTAAGATAAGAGATGTCTTTAAAATCTGTTAGATGTGGAGAATGTTTACAAGATAGAGTTGGCAACTATTGTCAAGTAAGTTTCTGAATTTCTGACACCCTCCCAAAGAAGAATTAATACTTAATTTGATGATAAGGTGCTTTAGCAATACAGTAATGCTGCTTTAAAATGTTTTTATTTCCAAGAATGCACACCTATACAATCTGGTTGTTGCAACTATTTATTTTAATGATGCAATGACTAATGCAACCTGAACATACAGAGTTATGGGTGTTTTAATGTATGACAAATCTTGGTCATACATTAAAAAGCTTGACTGAAAAGAAGCTGAAGTTAGAGAAATCTGATCATATATTCAAATTTACATCAAAACCAACCTTTCATACACTTAGACAGTGGCACGGGAAGGGGGGTGCTGCGGGGGCTGCAGCCTCCCTCGTCATAGCATCAGCCCCCCATGGTGGGGGGCTGTGGAGTAACATAATATTGTACTTAAAAACATGAAATTATTTATGTATTTATTTTTTAGACTGTGTTTGATATGGGATTAAAATGATGGGCTGTGTCTAAGATATAAACTAATGATTCATTATTTTAATATTTCATAAAAAACTAGGCTACTCCCCCGGAAGCTTCCGCCACCTCACATTCGTTTAGGCATGGCTAGCAATAGGCAGCAGAAACGTATTTCTGACTATTTCGAGGTAAGAAATGGTTTTAATTCCCCTATACGCTAGAATAAGGCTGCATATCACTAAATATTATGTCTGTATTAAGCTATTTAGTGACAAAATATGAAATTAGTTTGTTTTTTTGTGTGTTTTTTGTTTCAGATATGAAATCATTCCCCATATCCATAGTCGAATGGACTTTCAAGACGTTCAATGCTCAGTTTAGGCCATATTTAGGCCATGTTTTATTCAAGTGTTCCTGATGCTGTTGATTGGGAGCTGTTGTTTGTTTAGAATGATTAAAAGAGAAGAAATAAAGTTTAAAATGTTCATGCTTTGTTCCGATGCATTTTAAATGGCAGTTTTTGGCGACAAATGTAGGCCTACAATATTATGTTAAAAACGTCAGCCACAGCCCTCAACATAATGACGTCACGTGTTTTCCAACCCAGCCATCAGCCCCCCTCGCTTGAAACAGCTTCCAGCGCGCCTGCACTTAGATGGGTATAGGGTATTGCAGTCTAACAAAAGAAGCCAAACAACACCATTCCAAATGGGGTGACAACTTCGTCTGTTCCAGTTTGCATGTATTCAAAACAAAAACAAGGCTTCGTTGGGCTACTGTATAAAAGCTTGAACTCAACGCTATTCCTGACATTTTGAATTGAAAAAGCTTCCTGAATGGTGAAACGTCTTCATACTTGGAAACCATGTCCAGTGGATGTCAACAATGGGTGGTGAGGTTGCTTGAGGACCCAGATGCAGAGACAAGTGAAGCAGGGATGAGTTCTGAGAGGTTTAATTGCAGACCAAAAAGCAGCAGAGGCAGAAATCCAGAAATCCAATTTAAAATATTAAACAAACCAAAATCATGGAGACATCAGGGTAAAGACGAGTCTGAGGAGCCGGGGAGAGACGAGCAGAGTAGACAATACAGCAACAAGAAGAAACCAGCACTGAGTGACTGCAGAGGTGGAGTATTTAAGGACAACCAAACAAAAGGATGGACTAAAGAGCTGAATGGGGAGCAGGTGTGGGTGGAACTGGCAAGAGGGAATCCAAGGGAAAAGAAAACAATCACAAGGGGGCAACAGAGAGTAACTAAAGAATGCTTGAAGATCATGGAAAATAAAAACAAAACAACTGATAACAGAAAACTGAAAACTCAGAGTCACAACAAATAAGAACCATAACAGTGGATGGTTTTTAATTTTTTTTGGAATGACTATGACCTGGATGACAGGGAACCTTCACCAGCATATATAGACTGATATGATGAAAACTGGTTTAAAGAATAGATGGCAAAAAAAAAGAGTGAGGGAAGCCATCTGACAAAGAGCCAAAAAGGAAGTCAGCATTGTCCCGCTTCATTAATTCTAAAGCATTATAAACAAGTATATTTTTGGTGAAATATGTTGTACTCAAATTACCATATTGGTGCTTGACAGGTCAAGAAACCTCAGTTTGGAAAAAGTATAGGAATTTGAAATTCAAATCAGTTCCAAAATCCTTTATTAATGCCAAAGTGAAACAAAATACTCATATTTAAAATAACTACTCATGCTTTTATCAAACTTACAGAAAAATATTGTTGGTTGATGAAGTTATAGGCCAGAAAATATAGAATTTTAAAGCTTAGATGAATATATTGATTACAAAAATATCCTTTCAAAACGGTCAGAATTCAACCTAACCTATCAGACCCAGTAGAGGGGAGGTAGGCTAGTCAGAAAATCTGTCCATTACATAAACTATTTGTGTCAGGAATGTTGCAGGAAACAAGGGCAATCTATCCTGTAAATAAGAAGAAGACGTCAACACAGATACAGCTGGTAGAACGATGGAGAAGGAAATGCCACATCAAGCTAATTATCATCAACCATATCTGTTCTCCAGGAACTGGGGAGAGCGGGAAAACCACCTTCATCAGACAGATGAAGATCATCCATGGCCGAGGCTTCTCAGAGGAGGAGAGAAAGTCCTTCGCTAAGTGTATCTACCAGAATATCTTCACTGCCATCAAAGCCATGACTGGAGCCATGACCACACTAAGAATTCCTTATGCCAACCCTGAGAATGAGGTAGACTCATACATCCCACACATAAACCTTTGCAAGCATAAAAACAAACAGATGCACTTAGTTACACATTATTGCACACATATAAACACAAGTGTGATGGCATCCGATTAAAAATAGTCCTAAGGAATATTGGTTTGTGCATGAAAAATAATTTAATATGCTAAAACACTTGCACATCATGCTGTAGTGTCAAAATACCCTGGAGTATGACCACAAAGACAGAGAGGCTACAGCCTTGGGCTAAGCAAATGATAGAAGAGGGTGAAAGGTGTTTCTTTTTAATTCAGAAGGGTCAGTATAACCTGTCTCTTTGTAAACATTAGCCTACTCTTTTGCTGACCATGAGTTGTTTGTTCTGCAGAAGCTTGCCAAGTGGCTGCAGGATGTAAACACATTGCACATCATTCACCTGGAGAGAGCATATGTGGATGCAATCCGTCGCCTCTGGTTGGACGGGGGAATACGGATCTGCTACAGCCGCCGCTGCGAGTACCAGCTCCTGGACTCCACTGAATAGTGAGTAAACCTAAAACAACTTTTATACTGGAAGGGAGTCCAAAGCAACACCATGCAGCTTCACCGATCTTCATGATTTAACAGTGTCTCTGAATTCTAGGATATCAATGAAAACACTTTTTTATTCAGGTACAGTTAATGGCACCTCTGATAAAGTTAAAAAAGCAGTTGGAGGCTCCTATTGCAATAATTAAAGAATGTGACAGGACAAGCCGACCCGGGGACGTTTTAAGTTATTTACAAATCAAAGGTTTTGAGCAATATACAGGTCCTGATAGAGTGGGATCTAAGCTCCCAGTGATGTCAATCTTGTGAAAATCGAAAAGAACTGAAGAAGATATGACCATTTGGATGTTGGCACTCTGCAAAGGACAATAAACTAGCGTTAAAGATTGTTTTAAATCAACCTTGAAGCCGACAGGGTGCTAACAAACACTGTTATTTCACTACCTTTGCATACCTTACCTGCACCAGCAGTGCTTGTATACAAACTGCACAGTTTTTCTAGGTTCTGAGGTAATTGACAGCACCGCATTACAATGTTTGTGTTACATGATGCACTGCACAAACATCTTTTGGATGTAAAAAAAAAAATGAAACCTTAACTCAAAGTTATTGTCTTAAACTTGATATTTTAGCTGTGCTTTTGATTGAACAGCTTTATGTTGCATTTGATTTTGCACCCATCACATTTGCATGCAATTTTAAATTGTTGGTTATTGTAATATTGTAATTCAATCCCTAAAAATTATGGTCATTCTTCAGGTTATTGCCTTCAAAGAGTTTTTGTATTGACATTTAAAATAGAAAATCAATAATTATCGAATAACTGTGGGGTTGATGTTTGGGAAGAGTGCAAACTCATTGGGAGGGGTTAGACAAGGACCACTCTCGCCTTGGGATCCAAAGAACCTAGAGCTGGCCCTGTGCGTATCATATCTTACCGGTCCACTTAAAACACTGTGAAACAAGACTTTGATCTACAGCTCCTCTCTCAGTGTCCTCAACCTCAGGTTACCTTCGATTATTGTAACGATGGAGTGCAGGGACAGTGTTATGGAATGGAGCAAACTGTTACCTTGAAAATAAAACAGATATTGTGAAACTTAGTGCACATTTGGATTTATTGTCATTTTTTGGATTTTTTTTTTCAAAACAGCACAGCACAGCACAGCACAGCACATGAACTTACTTTTATCTAATCGCATCTTTGTAAGTAGCAATATTCTAGGCACACAGATTTTTGCCCAACATGCATTTCAAAAGCCTGGTATGTGCCAAAAAAAGCCGCTTTATGAACCAGTTGCAGGTTTGCCCCCTTTCCAAAATCTTAATGTGGCCAGATGAGGTTTTAATCAGACAAAAGCCGGGTTTAAACACATAATTATTAATTTTAAAACCTCTGAAACTGTCAATTAGAGCACAAAGTGGTTACTTTAAATCTTCAACTTAAACATTTTGCAATGAAAATTAAAATCACATTTTTTTTTATTTGATTTTCTGTTTTCTCAGTTTGTTTGCATTAAATTTAGATTATTAACAAGTAAAATCATTTTAAAACATTCTTATTTTAAAGTCTGTAGAGAAACATACAGTTTCAGCTTACAATGCACTTTTTTTCAAAACTGTGATATCCAGCTGCTCTTCAAAAGGGAAAGAAGAAAAAAAACTCAAAGCAAAGAAGTAAAAAAAAAAAAAAAAAAACTAACTAGAACAAAGACAATAAAAAGGCCAGATGGGTTTCAAGCGGCTAAAGCAGCTCACACAAATGAGCCTGGATGTAAATGATTAGTGGTATATTCTATAGACACCCTTTTGACGCACTGATCTCTATTAAAATAAACCTAGTAAAGGATCTTGCAAGCCCTGCTTTGTTTTATGTATGAATATATATATATATATATATATATATATATATATATATATATATATATATATATATATATATATATATATAAAAGTGCTGTGGGTAGAGCGTAAGTTTCTTCTGTGCAACGTCTTAAAATGCTACAAGGGTAAACAAAGAGATTTGTTAATAGTATAAGAGGGTTACATACAATATTAATGGAATATAAGTGAACAAAGTCAATGAACAAAGACAAAGACCAGTTGGGTCTTAAGTGGCAAAAGCAGCTCATACAAATGAGCCTAGATGTAAATGATTAGTGTTAAATTCTTTAGGCACCCATTCTCTGATGTCTTAAAATGCTACAGGACAACACAAAGAGCTATAGTAAATAATAATAAAAAAAGTTACATAAAATATTAATGGAATATAATTAGTGTTTTATGTATTTACAGGTGCAAATTCACATTTAGTCTAATCTAAATGATGATTAATTGTTTTAAACCAATAAAAACTAAAATTTAACTTATCATGAAATACAAATAGAAAAGCAAATTTATAAGAGAAATATTATGTTTCTACAATGTGTGACCCCCGCAGTTAAGAAAAGACAGTTGAACAGTTGACTCCACCACTACAGGTCATAAAGAAGCTGGCTGTTCAAAGTGCTAAATGCAAGCATTTCAATGGGCAGATGAATGCAGATCAAGGGTGTGGTTGAAAAAAGTGACCAAGCAACAACCCTAAAAGGATTGCAGCAGGAGAGTCACTTTACACAGACGAAACCAAAACCCAGGCCACAGCAGTTAATTTCTTGTAGTATCATGGACCAAGGAAATAATCAGAAACTTCATACTTGAAATAGACTGAACTGCAGTCCAAAACTTTATTATCCATTTCATTGTAAAGCGAAGGTCCTGGAATCTGAAGGATGAGTAGTACAGAATCTATACAGCTTATGTCTAAAGATACAGAGAATATAGTTTTCTGTTGAGAGGAAGATGACATAAATTAGTAGATTAGTCTGGGCTACCTGATCACCACGTAGTACCATGGGTGGGTCCTGTCCATTACACATTGCTGTTAGGCCATTAATGTAAATAAATTCACACAAGCAAAGTACAGTAAAGGACATCAAACATGACTGACATCTCACATAACTGACATTTCTCCAGTGGTGGAAGAAGTATTTAAAAGTAGTACTTAAGCAAAGGTATTGATACTCATAGTCAAATGTTACTCAACTATAAGTAAAGGGCTGGTTATACTCCTGCAGCAGTGTGTCACAGTGAGCTTGTGGCAGATATTTTTGATTTATGTCCAATTTTGAAGTGTGGGCTGTGCTATGTTATTCCACGCCACAGTGCAAGAGGGACAATCAGGAACTAGCTGAGAGGAGGTGGAGGCACGTTTGTGTGACAACAGAGGGACCTGAGGGCGAAAAAGATCGGGGATCCATTAGGGTTGTCACGATACTAAACTTTTCAACTCGATACCGATACTAAGGAAAATATTCAATACTCGATACCATTTTCGATACCACAAGGACTAAAACAAAGAATCCAAAATTCTACAGAAATATTTTCATTAATAAATAAAATAAAATAAATAAATACAATAAA